CCTCCGAGAATTCATTTAACTGTTCCATCAGTGGCTCCAAATAAACCTGTATGTTATTACTATGGGATTGTTTTTGAGTATCAGAGCTCTAAAGGAAAAATGACTTTGTCATACATCTCCAAGGAAGTGAATTATATGTTGTCAAGACTACAGGCCACATGCTTAGCTAGAGTTCATGTTTCCAAATTGGGTAAACTCATCACTAATTAAGAAGGGAAAGGTGGAAATTCCTAGGATCTTAAGAAAACCAACTATGATCTCTATCAAACTTTTTCAAGTTACTCCATTAGCAAGATGCCTTAGTACATCATCAACACGTTTGTCCTTGTACCACCTCGTGTGTTTAGCAATGTCTTTTGTCATGAACAACCCTTGTAGCCTATCTTTTATGGAGAAATACCTAGTTTTCTTTTGGGCAATCTCCTTTTGTTTACCTAGTTTGTACCTAGGATGTTTACATTTTGTGCATTCCTTCTCAGATTGTAGAGGAACTCTAAATAGAACACAATTGTTTGGACATGGATCCGTGATGGAGTAGCCAAATCCAAGATCTTGCATGTACCTCTTAACCTCATACAGTGAAGTTGGAGTCTATCCCCATTTGGTAAAGCATCCTTAAACAACCCCAAATTCAAGTTAAAATCTTTATCACTACTATTGGTTAATAGTTTATTACTCATCATTTTCATCATGAAGGATCATTTTGAAAAGTTCTTACATCCTAGATATAGCTGGCAATTGGCATCACCGAATAAGCTAGCCAATTTTTCAGGATTTTTTGCTATATTAGAATAATCATTTGATGTTGCTAGCCAACACTTATGATGCAGAAAAAATTCCATGAGTAGCTCGACCCAAATAATCTAACATTAGAATATTAGTATCTGACACTTCATTTTCATTCTCAAAAGTTGAATGAGAAGGTTTATGTTACTCTTACCGCCAAACTCGTAAGGCTCGCCATGATGTATCCATGTAGTAGATGTCTCCACCATGCCATGCCTAAATATTTCACTTTTCGCCACGTTTAGGTTTTTAATGTACCAATTATTAAACTTTTTACACGGACATCTAGTTCTACCAAGTTCATCAAGATGGTCAGTTACAAACCTTATGCATTCATCAAATCCTGCTATATATTCCTCGCAAAATCTATTAGTTAACTTCAACTGATCTATGTTCATTTTGACTATATGTACAAGTAGACTGACCTTCACTTGCCGGTTGTTTTGTAACTTGCAAGATCGCAGTGACCAAACGAGATAAGTTGCACAATTAAATAAGCAACATGAGCAACCTTGTTAGATTTTGTTTCGTAATGTATTATTATTGAATCAAGGTAGAAGATCATTAAATCACAATGCATTGTGTTTTGTACAATGCACGCTATAGACTACTGTATTGCAAACAAATTTTGGATTGACAGCTAGGGAACAATGCAATTAATGAAATGAAGATGTGATAGAGGAAAACAAACCCATATATAAGATGGAAAGCAAACCAGCCAACAAGAGAAAAACAAACCCATATATAAGATGGAATTCCAGTAAAGAACAACAACACAAAAGAAAATAAATTGATCAATACAGAGCATCGACTCTCTTGGAATGATCTCCCCACCATAATAACAAGAGTACATGAAAGAACCTCATCACCTACGACATATACATCTTAGAATCAAATCACAAGCGCGCATCAGTAAAAGAAAAAAAATTACAACAACTAAGAGACAGCGGATGGAGGTGAAGAGGGCCGCGCAAGAACAAAACTTCTTAGTATAAACCACCAAAATCGCTCTTCTGGACTGTCACGATTGATTCACGATCGATTGACTATGAAAGACTTTGGCAAGAATCTGTGGACAAAAGGGGGAGACTAAGGGAAAAAATCCAAAAGTACCATTGTTTAAAAAAAAAATTCCAAAAATACCACCCAATCCCAAAAAATTCCAAAAATACCACCCTTTTTCAAAAACCGCCACCCCACCCAGCGGTTTGGTCGAAAACCGCTTGTCGGGGGCGCGGTTTTGGACCAAACCGCGGGCCTAGGGGGCGGTTATAAAATAAAAAAAATTTGGACCAAAACCGCTGGGTGGGGTGGCGTTTTGGCCCAAAACCGCCACCCCAACCAGCGGTTTGGTCCAAAAGTTCGGTCGAAACTTCAAACGTACGTAACTTTGCACTCGGGTATCCGATCGTAGCGATTTTTTTTTTCATTTCGCATAACTTTTCAAGATCTACAACTTTTACTAGGATGAAATTTTCAAAACAGGAACTATTTGTGGATATACGGGACCTTGAGAATAACTTTACCTTTACTTTTCAGAAATCCATGTATATTTTGAAATTATGATTATATTAAAAGTTGTAGATCTTGAAAAGTTATGCGGAATAAAAAAAAATTCATGACATTCGGATTTTGGAGCACAAAGTTATGGCCGCCCAAAGTTTGACGAAATAAAAAAAAAGGTCGTTCGGGGTGGCAAATGACGTTTTTTCGAGACGAAGACGGAACCCAACTGTTTTAGACTTGCAAGATCTCAAAAAGTTATTCGGATTCAGAAAATGGAGGCCGCAAACTTTTTGAGATCTTGCAAGCCGCAAACCGCCGGGTCTCGCCTTTCGTCAAACTTTGGGCGGCCATAACTTTGTGCTCAAAACTCCGAATGTTATTATTTTTTTTTATTCCGCATAACTTTTCAAGATCTACAATTTTTAATATAATCATAATTTTAAAATGTACATGGATTTCTGAAAAGTAAAGGTAAAGTTATTCTCAAGGTCCCGTATATCCACAAATAGTCCCTGTTTTGAAAATTTCATCTTAGTAAAAGTTGTAGATCTTGAAAAGTTATGCGAAATGAAAAAAAAAATCGCTACGATCGGATACCCGAGTGCAAAGTTACGTTCGTTTGAAGTTTCGACCGAACTTTTGGACCAAACCGCTGGTTGGGGTGGCGGTTTTGGGCCAAAACGCCACCCCACCCAGCGGTTTTGGTCCAAATTTTTTTTATTTTATAACCGCCCCCTAGGCCAGCGGTTTGGTCCAAAACCGCGCCCCCGACAAGCGGTTTTCGACCAAACCGCTGGGTGGGGTGGCGGTTTTTGAAAAAGGGTGGTATTTTTGGAATTTTTTGGGGTTGGGTGGTATTTTTGGAATTTTTTTTTTAAACAGTGGTACTTTTGGATTTTTTCCGAGACTAAGGGTTTCAAGAACGAGTTGGCATGGAAGGAAAAAGGGAATTCCATGTCCCCTAAATGTTTTCCTCGTTTTTCACTATTATAAATTTTTGTTCATTTTATAGCCCTAAACCAATAAAGAATATATGTCCTATTCCATATTCTGTTTGTTATAGGAAATATAGAATAAAACATGAATTAATCATATTAATTCAAATGATATAAATTCATAGCAGTGCATCTAAAGATTGAAAATTCATTGTCAAGGTCCCAGTAAAGGCCATTAGGGTGTCATGGCTTAGTAGGAAATTTCAACAAATAGAGAGTTTTTAGATGATGAAATATATAGTAGGATGCATGGTCCATGAAACCGTACCGGAAAAGTCAGCGGTAGGGTATTTTATGATAAAACCGTGGGTTAACCGTAGTTCAACCGTTAGTACCGTTAAATACCACCTACCGGTAAAGCCTCCGATACTGGTATTTTGTGGTTGAACTACCAGTACGATACGGTTTCATGAACCATGGGAGGATGCCATCTAAATATTACCATAACATTTTCCATATTGGAGCAGAAGTTTAAGAGATACAATTAAATAAAGGGCGGAGAAGGGCAAGTCACGGTCACAACAGGGACATTCATGTCTAGGCCATGGTATGCGTTGGGATTTCAGGATTCAAGTATTTTTCCCCCTTATTTGTGGGCTTTGGTGATAGGTTGATGTGGCCAACCCTAGTTGCCGTTATACATTTGTCCCTTTGATGTTTTTAACAGTCAAAATAAATTTTAGGCCAAATATGTCCAATATTTTAAAAAATTGGCCATAACTGTCTTATTGAAAAGTTGGGGCCAAAATCGTCACTATTGCCAAACTTCGGGCCAAAATGGGGTATTAAGCCTATTCCTTTTTATCATGTTTCTTATGCATATGTTGAGTTTTAACTTTTATAATAACTGGTTTCGTTAAGTTATTGATTGTATCTTACTATCTTGTCATGTGGGTATGACTTGTTATGCAAGTCCAATTGCAGGAACTAATAACTTGGGCCAAAAAGCAAATCCAAGCCCAATAACCACTTCAGGATAATCACACTAAAAGAACAGAAAGAATAATCACACTAAAAGAACAGAAGTCACGCCAAGAGTAATTCTAGAGTCGGTAAAAGCCAGTTCACTGTGGCTTTATCAACATGGTCGCAGTAGCAACTTTGCACGCATGCAAAATTGCAAATGCAAGCTCGGGAAGGAAACAATGAAAGATACCCAGAAGGCTACAAAGTCCCCAAAAGAGGGGGTTGACAGCTACAAAAAAGAGTTCAAATCATACATTGGATGGAGGAGGATTCAAGCAAGCATACCTGAATTGTGACTCTGTCAAACCATAGATGGGTAGTGACTAGTGAAAAAGATCACCCCATTTACAGGCTTGAATCAACGGAGGGTAGCAGTTACCTTACCCCATATCTGACTAGATTTTTTCCAATTATTTCTCCACTCCCGCCAGCTACCGGTGATTGATTCTCCTAATTTTAGCAAACCAACAGCGACTATCTCAAAGCAGACAGACTGCCACTCATTAAGTGAGTTCATCCACCAACAGAGGATGCAGATAAAGATCAATCTTGAATTCCCAGATGCCAATTCACACTCTCGATTGATTAGTACCATCAGCATCATTCATACGTTTCAAGAGAGACGCCTCCTCTGTTTTTGTTCTGTTTCTCTATCTTCCCCTGTTTCCCCGCATTCCTCTGTTCCTTTTAATAAAAATGACAGTTTCCAGAACTCCTTCCTCTCCAGTGTGTGTGATCACGGCGGTGATGATGCTCGCCGCCGTTTATCTGTTCGGGATCGACGGCGCTGCGGTTCTCCACCTTGAGAGAAATTTGCCTTTGCCGTCGAACTCGACTTCCATTGAGCAGCTGACAGCTCGGGATCGAGCCAGACATGAGAGGATCTTGCGAGGATCCACCGCCGTCCATGGAGTTGTCAGCTTCCCGGTTTACGGTTCAGCGGATGCCAATATTTTCGGGTATTTCCCGTTTTCCCCTGTTTGTTGTTTTTCAATTCCTTTCCCCAGTTTAAATTAAAATCAATATTTCTGTTCTGTCTGTACAATATATAAACAAAAGAAAGAGGGAGTATGTAATTTTAAAATTTGGCGGCAAAAAGACATTGAACAATACACATGCTTATACTAGCGTTTTACACGGAACGCAGTCGTTTCTGGAATCTCGTAAAGGGAAACTCAAAATTAAGAATTTGCATTGTTTATAATTTTCCTGCGTTATTCAATCTTCCCACCTCCTTCCTCTGTTTCCTTTCCCCTGCCTCCCCCTCTCTACTACTTAGTTGATTCCAACTTCCAAGCAGAAGCAGGGATTGACATTGACTGCTGTTTTTTTTGTTGCTAATCTTGGTTTTGTTGGATAGACTGTATTACACAACAATAAATCTTGGGTCGCCACCAAGGGAATTCAAGGTGGTGATCGACACCGGGAGTGATGTCTTGTGGGTGATGTCCAACACCTGCGTCAATTGTCCACGCTCCAGCAATCTAGTGAGCTATCTCTCTCTCTCTCTCATTAATCCTACCTATCCTTATCAAAACTTATTCACTCTTCTTTTGTTGTTGGTATCGTGATGCAGATCCAGCCTACGTTTTTTGATACCACTGCCTCCTCAACTGCACGCGTCATTCCTTGTACACACAAGGATTGTGCTCCATTCAATCGGAGCGGCACTGCTTGGTGTCCAAGGAGCGACCAATGTGGCTACACCATCCGGTATCTCGATTCGAGCGCAACTTCTGGGGTCTACGTGAAAGATGAGTTCCATTTCGATTCGCTGTTGCCTGGTTCAAGAATCGCAAATTCCTCGTCGGCGCCGATTGTGTTTGGGTAAGTTGCTGTTTGTGCTGCCATAACAGTTGTTTCTGAATTTGCAATTTCTTTTCACACGAACGGAGCTTATTATATGTGCCGTGCATGCTGGATGCCGATGCAGGGTTAGTACCTACCAGTCGGGACACTTGATCGACACCAACAATGTAGCTGACGGAATTCTGGGGTTTGGCCGTGGAGATCTCTCCGTTCCCTCACAGTTATCTTCCAGAGGGTTAATACCGCGAGTCTTCGCTCACTGCCTCAAGGGAGATGGAATGGGAGGTGGTACTTTTGTCCTCGGCAAGATTTTGGAGCAAGGCATTACATATACTCCGCTGACTCCTAACAAGTGAGTATATTTCTTTCTCTAAACCTTTTTGATGCTCCTCTATCTTGTAGACCCAGCTTTCTCTACAGTTTTTGATTGTGATGTTTGTTGGCATGAGAGGACCTCCAATTTAATTTAGTAGAAACCCCTTTGGCTTTGGGCCATTGCGGTTCAAGTGACGGGTGGAATAGAAATATTGACACAGGTGGTTCCTCTTTAAATTTGCAGGCAGCTTTACTTTGTAAATCTACAGAGCATTGCGGTCAATGGAGATATGCTGGCTGTTGATCCAGTGGTGTTTACCAATCGCGGGACATTCTTTGACACAGGCACGACTTATGCCTATCTAGTCGACGAGGCTTATAACCCATTTGTCAACGCTGTAAGTAACATTCCTCCCGGTCAATATTGTGTTGATAGGAAGTGACTAGGTAAGGTGTTAAACAAGTGAAGTCATTATATTCTCGATAGGTTTCTTAGCTCAAAGCTAATGACATGTTGAAATTTTAGGTCACAGCCGTTGTTTCCCAATCCGCAGCTCCTGCAATGAGAGAGGGGTTTCAGTGTTACCTCGTCGATTCCAGGTTTGCAAATTCTACTAGTTATGGTCTTTGGTTTTGACACTGTATGTGTTAGGAAAAAATTCAAACGGATTGTTTCTTTGTTACTTCACACTGTGACCTCGGTTGACCTCCATGTGCAGTGTATCTGTATCTCAGCTGTTTCCTGCAATGACCTTGAATTTTGCTGGTGGCGCTTCTCTGGTTCTAAAACCAGAGGAGTATCTTGTCCAGTCTGTAGTAAGTTTTCATGTGCAACCTTAGCTACCTTATTCGTTGAATTCACCTTCCACAATGTCTGACCATTGCCAATACTTGCTTACAGCTGGACCCTGCTGGGATGTGGTGCTTGGGTGTTGGGAAGCATCCAAAGCTAACAATCTTAGGAGGTTAGTGACCCTCCCACTACAAGAAAAAAGGGATTTAGGTTAATTTAGTTGTTTAGTGTCGATTATAACCGCTGGAATAACCGACTCAAAATTATTTTAAGTCAGTTATAAATGTGTCGGTTATAATCGACTCTAATTATTTATCCAGTTTTTTTAATTTGAAACAATTTTTGTGTTGGTCACTGTAACCGATTCGAATTTGTTCTTTTTTTTTAAAAAAAATTCAACGGCAACCCAATTGGTGTTGGTGATCGTGCTCATCCTCGTCGCCCGACGTCTTTTTTCTATCCTCCGATCCCTTTTCACTAGGGGCTCCGGATAGCATAACAACACCTAAGGTGTTGTTATTATAACAACAGGGGTATAAGGGTAACTGCACAATAATTAAATAATTGTTTTCTTTTACCTGGCATTAATTTTGAAATTCAAAAATAATAATAAAATTCATTGAAGCGCGCGTTGAGACATTTCAGTTTTCCGCTTTCCCCTTTCCCCTTTCCCCTCTGCTCACGAACTGCTCACGAACTGCTCTCCGACGGGACGTCTGCTTCGGTCTCCCTGTTCTCGCCACCAAATTTGCATCTGCATCGAGCGATTTCGTCTGCGGCTTGTGGATTTCCTTCGCGCGATTCTGTTTCCTCCGTCGTCGAAGTGAATTTCGAGGTATACCGGTGATTTCCTCCGATAAACTGGAACTGTCTTCTCCTCCGTCGTCAGTTTTGGTCTGCGAAGTCGCCGTTGTCGTTTAGCGTCGCCGGAGTTCCACTTGTATGGTGTTAGTTTGGCGTCGCCGTTTTCGTTTTCGTTAGCATTGTCATTGCTTGCTTCCGCTATTGAATTTACCACCTTCGTTTTCATGTTTGCCCTCTGTTACTTTCGTTTTCCAGTTTTCTGCGATGTTTTGACGCATGCAGTCTAAATTTGTTGAAGGAGACGAGGAAATTTCATAGTTGTGCGTTCTGGTTAGGTTTTGTTGGATGTTTCTTCATTTTTGTGGTGTGCTTTGATTATTTTAGGGTTTCTGGTTTCTCATGAGTCGTTTGTGGTGTTGTTTAGTAGTTCTGTTGTTTTTTTCTATATTTTGGTGGTGCGCTTTGTGTTTGGTGACAGTTAGTGTGTTTGTGGGTTGGATTGGGGCCTTTCTGGAGGGTTTTAATAAAACTATTGTGTATTTTAGGGTTTCTGGTTTCTCATGAGTCGTTTGTGGTGTGCTTTGTGTTTGGTGACAGTTAGGGTGTTTGTGGGTTGGATTGGTGCCTTTCTGGAGGGTTTTAATAAAACTATTGTGTACTTTCAGGCTACTGTTGGTGGTTCTTTTAAAAGGTTTTGTGGTTTGTGTTTCGGATTTCACAGTTTGGTTTAGAAGATTTACTGGTGTGCATTTGCAGTTGTTGTTTGTCTCCTTTACATCTGATTATTGAGTCGTTTGTGGTGGTGTTCAGTAGTTCTGTTGTTTTGTTCTTTTTTTTTTTGGTGGTGCGCTTTGTGTTTGGTGACATTTAGGGTGTTTGTGGGTTGGATTGGGGCCTTTCTGGTGTTTTTCCAGGGTGATGTTGGTGGTTCATTTGGAGTTGTTGTTTGTCTGCTTTAAATTTGATTATTGGATTGTTTTCATGGGTTTACAGTTTGCATTAGGCCCTTAATGGTTTGGATTTTATATGTTCTGGTATGAGATTGCTTATGTTGGTTTGTGTTTTGGTTGCTTTGTAGGCATGGCACCTGCTAAGAAACGTGCAGTAAAGGGGAAAGAAAAGGAAAAAGTTCCAACACCTAAGCAAGAGAAAGATGGTGCAGTAAAGGGGAAAGAAAAAGAAAAAGTTGCAACACCTAAGCGAGAGAAAGATGGTGCTTCTCCTGTGCCTGGAAAGCCGGATAAGAGGCATCGTAGTAATACTAATCGTATTCTTGGCATCATGGAAGCTGACAGTACAAGTGAAGAAAAACTGCAGATGCTTGATCCTCTGGGTTATAGGGGTGTGTCGAGGGTTAAGCTTACGAGACTCCCGGATAATTTTATTGAATGGCTTTGCAAAAGCTTTGATGTGAGTTCAAGGTCTTTCCCGCTGCTACGGTCAGGGAAGTTTAGAATTGGAGAGGCAGATGTGGAGAGAGTCTATGGTTTGCCGCGTGGACCGTATGTTGTTAAGCTGGATATGTTCAGTGCAGCCCAGAGGCACAGGTGGGGAATTGAGTTAGGGCTTTCCAATACTAAGAAAGGAAAGGCGTCATTGGCAAATGTTAAACTGGCATTGGAAGAGGAGAGGGACAATAAGAAATGGAGGGATCTTTTTGTACTGTATGCAATGGAGGCAGTTCTGTGTCCCAGTGGAAATTTGAAGATTAACCTCTCCTATGCTGGTTTTTTGCAAGATGAAATGGTTGCTGACTTCACCCAATATAATTGGTGTAAGCATGTGGCTGACCATTTTAATGACAGTATGGTTGAAGTGGTTCAATCAAAGTCAAAGTTCCCTGGTGACGTTCATCTTCTTTTTGTAAGTGAATAAATATACCCCTTTTCGAATTTTGGTTTACTGTTTCATTTATGGTTTGTTTATTGACGAATGTGGTGTGGTTGAAGATGTTTATGGTTTGTTTAAGAGTTTTAATGGTTTGCTTTTGCCCCCCCCCTGTGTTATAATGTTTCTGGTATTGTTTTTCATTTATGGTTTGTTTATTGACTAATGTGGTGTGGTTGAAGATGTTTATGGTTTGTTTAAGAATATTTATGGTTTGCTTTACCCCCCTTTGTTATAATGTTTCTGCTATTGTTTATCATTTATGGTTTGTTTATTGACGAATCTGGTGTGGTTGAAGATGTTTATGGTTTGTTTAAGAATATTTATGGTTTGCTTTTGCCCCTCCCCCCCTGGTTGTGTGGTGTGTATTATAATCTTTCTGGCACAGTTTGTTTGTGGTTGCTTGACTTCTGTCTGTTTGTATATGTGGCAGATTTCGATTCTTGACCGTGTGAAGAACCCCCCTGAGCTGCCCATACCGACCTGTAAGCATAGGTCGTACAAAGTCGCAAGTGCTGCTTTTCAAGTACTGATGGACGAAGGTCATCTCAATATTGGTCATCGAGATGTAGTGATGGAAGAAGAAGCAACCTCCAGTCAACCAATGGGACGAGAACGTGTGCTGGGTTCAAAGAGGAAAAGGCCGGTAGATGATCTTGATATGGTGAGGGAAGGGGATCTTCCGAAGCTTCCCCATCTTGACCTCAACTTGGATGGTGTTCATTCGGTTGAAGAAGTGAGTGATTTTTTCTGTGTTATTCGTTTTATGTCTTTCTTTAGAGTACTTTCAGTGTGCTTTACAAGTATAGTGGTTTGCATTAGTTTGTTTACGTAATACTTTATTTTATTCATGTGCTGGTTAGTTGTGTTTTCTGTTGTTTGTTCTTTGGCTTGCTTTAGTGTACTTGTGGTTTCTATTAAAAGAATAGTGGTTTGCATTACTTCGTTAAAGGAATATTTTATGGTACTCATCGTTTGGTAGGTGTTTTTCTGTGAGAACTCAAACATATGTGGTTCGTATAAGTGTGTTTTAGGTGTTCATTAAAAGGAATGTGAGATTCTTTAGAAGGTTTATGGTTTGCTTTTGGGCTGTTCAGTAACTTTGGGCTGTTTTCGTGTTTTTGTAGGCATATCAGTTGAAGAATGACATGGAAAGTTATAAGAGGGCTTTGTTGAGGATGGCTGCTCATTACAGTTCGAGCATTGAACAAGTTGATGATCATATAAAGATGCTGGAGGGGCAGCAACCAGAGGATAGTCCTGAAGATAATGTCGATTTCACTGATAGAGTTGATGATGTTTCTGTTGCTAAGGGAACCAATGATGTCGGTCGCAATGCATCTGCTGCCAATGCTGATGATGAGACTGGTGCTAACAGTCCAAAGTCCCCGGGTCTTGATGATTTGTCAATGGAGATGGATAAGGATGGTGCTGGTAGTGTTGATGTTGTGTTGCCAGATGTTGGTCACAATGATCCTGCTGGCACTGCTAATGATGATACCTCTCCTAAGGGAGTGTTAGATTCGGAGGGACTTGATGATCATCTTGATAATCTGACAATGGAGATGACACAAAAAAGTGTTGATTCTGAGAATGCTAAGAAGGTGATGGAGATGGACAGCTGTGAGGAAAAGGGACAAGGTGATGATGGAGATGACAATGTTGATGCTGCTAAGTTGGATAACTTGGTTGAGAAGGTCGTAAAGGTATTTTTACTGTTTTGTGTTTGAATATTTGTGGTGTGGATTATACTGTTTTTGGTTTGTTTGTCATGTCTTTTGTAGTTGGTTGTTTTGCATTTGTTAGTGGTGTGGTTTACATATATCTGGTTTTGTTAAACACTTTTGTGGTTTGGTTTCTGTAGTCTGCTATGGGGGATGTTTGTGAAGATGTGGTGGTTGATGAGAAAAGGAAAGAAGCTGATGCCGGTGAGGTGCTTGAGGGTGGTGATGGTAGTAGAGATTTAACATTGAGTCAGCTAGTTAGGGAGGGAAAGGTAATTTGTTATACAAAGGTAATTTGTTGTACTATGTTTCAGTTTTGGTTTGTGTTAGTTGTTTTTAGTGTTGTTTTATCTAATTTGTGGGTTGCTTTAAAAATCAGAAAAAATTTAAAGTGAAGAATGCAGGAAGCTCATCCGGTATTGATATTGATGTGTTGAAGGGTGCTGTGTTGCGATATGCAAGGGATTCGAATAACTTGTAAGTTAATGTGTATAGATTTCATACATATGCGGTTGCTTGTATATATTTTTTTATATAGTGCTTATTAGTACTTTTCTAATGCCGACTGTTTTGTTTGTTATGGATTATGAAAAATAGGAAGGAAATCCTTTTCAGTCGCGTTGATGGATTCGATTGCTTGTATAGAAAGGACACAGAGACTTTGGCACATGGGAAATGTGTGAGTGTGGATGTTATTGACTGCTATGCTGCCTATCTGAATCGGGAGCAAGTGAGAAGAGGGCAACTGAAAAGATGG